CCTGATGATGGAAGGCAGAGGATTGAAAAGTAAATTAAGGGGGCATGGTAACACAGAGAATGGGTTATGAATAAGATTGAGTAGCTCCAAAGATCCAGACTAGAATTCTGTTATAATGCCTTCCTGATGAATAACTTTCATTTGGGTTTTCAGTAGTTTATGAATCTGGCTGATGTGGGCTGCTTCATCCTAGTTTGTGTGTGCTTGTATCGGTAAATCACCCTTGGGTTGTGCCTGGCTCCACCCATTTCTGCCTGTCTAAACTTTATTCTTCAAAGCCCAGTTCTTTTTTTTTTTTGAAATGGGATCTTGCTCTGTTGCCTAGGCTGGAGTGCAGTGGCATGATCATAGCTCCCTGCAGCCTTGAACTCCTTGGCTCAAGCTATCCTCCTACCTCAGCCTGCCGAGTAGCTAGGTCTGTAGGCACACACTATCACGCCTGGTTATTTAAAAAAAAAAACAAACTTAGTTTTTGTAGAGATGGGGTCTCACTGTGTTACCCGGGCTGGTCTTGAACTCTTTGCCTCAAGCGATCCTCCCACCTTGACCTCCCAAAGTGCTGGGATTATAGGCATGAGCCACCATGCCTGGCCCAAGCTCAGTTCGGTAGTGCCTTTCCAAGAACCATTTTCTTAACTCAAACTTAAATTTATACCTGTTTCTGCACTTCTGTGGGTCTTTATGTCTCTTATATGATGTTTATCAGATTCCATCATATATTCTAGCTTGCTGAGTTGTCTAATGTCTACTGCTATACTATTAACACTGTGACAGGGACTGTCATTAATTTTATTTCCCCATAGCATCCAGTATGCCTAGAGTGTACTGGTTTAGAGTATCATCTCTGGAGTATGACCAGTGATGGATCACTGTGGTAACATTGGGGAAGTTATTTGGATCCCTCAAACCTTAATTTCTTAATCTATCAGATGGAGATAATACATTATTGATTTCATGATGTCAGGATTAAGGAAAATAATTTGTTTACAGCACTTAGCATAATGCCAGGCAATGATAATTACTATTATGTCAAATAAATAGGCTGGGTACGGTGGCCCATGCTTGTAATCCCAGCACTTTGGGAGTCCAAGGTGGGCAGATCACTTGAGCTCAGGTGTTGGAGACCAGCCTGGCCAATATGGTGAATCCCTCTCTCTACTAAACATATAAAAAATTAGCCAGGCATGTTCTTCCTGTAGTCCCAGGTGGTCGGGAGGCTGAAGCAGGAGAATTGCTTGAACCTGGGAGGCAGAGGTTGCAGTGAGCTGAGATCATACCACTGCACTCCAGCTTGGGTGACAGAGCAAGACTCCATCTCAAAAAAAAAAAAAAAAAAAAAAAAAAAAAGAATAAATAAGTGACTGAATGGGAAAAGTTATGCTTTTAACTTTTTGACTCGTATATTTAGAATGGGAGTAATTGGAGAGATTTTCCTATATGCTAATGCTGAAATACTGCAGTCTCCTAAAGGGAGATACTTGACTATAAAATGTTATAGTTACCATTTCTTTTGCACCAACTATATGTTAGACGTAATGCTAAATGCCTTAATATAGACTATCATACTTTAATCTTAACAATTAAAAAGGCATATATTCTCTCCCGTTTTACAGATGAGAAACTGAGACTCAGAGAAGTCACAACTAGTAAGCCAAGATACAAATTTGGGTTGTCTAGCTTTAAAATATATACTCTTAAGCATGATAACTATACCATACAGTCTCAAGTAGAGGCACATCATATGCTTATTTAAACACTCCAGAGCTAACCTGGTATAAGATGGACCAAGTCAGTTATAAAAAAAACTGTAAATTTTTTTATTAGACAAAGTTGGCCAAGAAAAAAAAAACATAAACATTTGGGAATTCATAATAGCATTAATGAAAGGAAATAGCAGAACAAAACAGGATGGAAGCACTTTTAACCCAATGAGATATTTTGGGGATATAAATTTGTAAATTCAAATTTAAGGGACTGATATTCCTTTAAAAATGATATATTCTTTTATTTTGTATAAATTTAAGGGGTACAAGTACAGCTTTGTTATGTGGGTATATTGTGTGGTGGTGAAATCTGGGCTTTTAGTGCAATCATCAGCTGAATAGTGTACCCATTAAGTAATTTCTCATCCCTCACTGCACTACTCCCAGCCTTCCAAGTCTCCAATGACTGTTATTCCACACTCTGTGTCCACGGGTACACACATTATTTAGCCCCTACGTATTATAGTGAGAATATGTGGTATTTGACTTTCTGAGTTCTTCTTTTTTTTCTTTTTTCTTTTTCTTTTTGAAATGGTTTCGCTCTGTTGTCCAGACTGGAGTGTAGTGGTGCAAATATGGCCCATTGCAGCCTCAGCCTCCTGGGCTCAAGCGATTCTCCCACCTCAGCCTCCCAAGCAGCTGAGACCACAGGTGGTGTCACTGTACCCAGCTAATTCAAATAAATATTTGTAGAGACAGGGTCTCACCATGTGGTGCAGGCTGATCTCAAACTCCTGGGCTCGAGCAGTCACCCTGCCTTGGCCTCCCAAAGTGTTGGGAATATAGATGTGAGCTTCTAATCTGAGTTGTTTCACTGAAGATGAAGGTTTCCAGTTTTGTGTTACTGTAAAAGATATAAGTTCATTCCTTTTTCATTCCTGAATAGTATTCCATTGTGTATGTATAGATATGTGTTTTGTTAAATTTAAAATTGACTACAAAATGAATTTTTACAGGATAAAGACTTTCTTATCACTTATTTAAAAAATTCTTTATTTTTGGTAGTCAACTTGAGTACTAGTTTATTGAAATTTGAAGTTGTCAAACGCTTATATAGAGGTGAAAATATATATCTATATTTTTGAGATGGAGTTTTGCTCTTGTTGCCTAGGATGGAGTGCAGTGGCGTAATCTTGGCTCACTGCAACCTCTGCCTCCTGGGTTTGAGCGATTTTCCTGCCTCAGCTTCCTGAGTAGCTGGGATTATAGGTGCCTGCCACTACACCCAACTAGTTTTTTTTTTTGTATTTTTAGTAGAGACGGGTTTCCCCATGTTGACCAGGCTGGTCTCGAACTCCTGACCTTAAGTGACCCAACCACCTCGGCCTCCCATTAGTGCTGGGATTACAGGCATAAGCCACTGCACCTGGCCCGAAAATAATTTTTTAGATCAGGAAAACATTACATGGTTCATATAGTGAAACTAATGCTGTGTATTATGAACTTAGAATAAATCATTTCAGCAATATAGATTTTTGGGTAGTCTATATTTCATTAGTTATTATTTCTGATTTTAAGTACCATATAGTACACATATCTTTAGTATATAGTTCAGTGGCTTTTTATTTTTTGGTTTTTGTTTTTAATTTGAGACGATGTCTTGCTCTGTTGCCCAGGCTGGAGTGCAGTGGTGCCATCATAGCTCACTGCAGCCTCAACTTCCTGGTTCAAGTGATCTTCCCACCTCAGCCTACTGAGTAGCTGGGAGTACAGGTGCACACCACCACACTTTTTTATACAGATGGGGTTTCACCATTTTGCCCAGGTTGGTCTCAAACTCCTGAGCTCAAGCGATGTACCCACCTTAGCCTCCCAAAGTGCTGGGATTATAGGCATGTGCGACCATGCCTGGCCCCCGTCACTGTTTTAACTAGTGTTACCATAGGTTTATTTTAACTCTCCTTGAATTTCAGAGAAATAGAATCTCATACTCTTCTGCATCTGGTTTCCTTTAAGCTTGCCTGAGTAATATATCCATATTGTGCATAGCAGTAATTCATTGTCTTTTAGTGCTGTATAGTTTTCCATTACATGAATATGTTTATCCATACTTGGATATTTGGATTGTTTCCAGTTTTTGGATATTAAGAACAAAAATACCTGAATATTCTTATTTCTGTTGGTTATTTATCTAAAAGTGTAATTGTTGGATATTGCATAGGCAGGTGTCTAACTTCAGTAGATGCTGGTGAAGCATTACTCTTAGCAAGAGCATATGAGTTCCACTCTCTCACCAATACTTGGTGGTGTCAATCTTTTTACTTTTACCCATTCTAAAGGCTGTTTAAGGGTTTTCATTGCCATTTTAATTTTGCGTTTCCCTAATGATTATGAAATTGAGCACCCGTTTATATGTTTATTGGCCATTTGGATATTCTTTTTTCTGAAGTACCTATTCAGACTTTTGTCCGTTTTGAAGATAGGATTATCTTGCTTTTGCTTTAGGAGTTCTTTATATATTCTGGTTATGAATTCTTTGACAAATGCATGTATTATAAGTATTTTTCTTTTAATCTTGACATGCCTTTTCACTTTTGATGATTTTTGATGAACAGAAGTTCTTTTTTTTTTTTTTTTTTTTTTTATCTGAGACAGGGTCTTACTCTGTCACCCAGGCTGGAGTGCAGTGTTGCAGTCATGGCTCACTGCAGCTGTAACTTTCCAGGCTTTAGTGATCTTTCCATCTCAACCTCCTGAGTAGCTGGGACTACCGGCATGTGCTATCATGTCCAGCTAATTTTTTAACATTTTTGTAGCGATGGGATCCCACTGTGTTGCCCAGACTGGTCTCGAACTCCTGGGCTCAAGTGATCCCCATGCCCTGGCCCCAAAGTGTTGGGATTACAGGCATGAGCCTCTGTGCCTGACCTTTTCTTTTTTTCCTTTTTTCTTTCTCAAAGCGAATCCAGGCCAGGCGCCTTGGCTCACTGTAATCCCAGCACTTTGGGAGGCCGAGGTGGGCGGATCTCCTGAGGTTGGGAGAGCAGCCTGACCAACATGGAGAAACCCTGCCTCTACTAAAAATACAAAATTAGCCTGGCGTAGTGGCACATGCCTGTAATCCCAGCTACTTGGGAGGCTGAGGCAGAAGAATCTCTTGAACCCGGGAGGCAAAGGTTATGGTGTGCCAAGATTTGCTCCATTGCTCTCTGGGCAATAAGAGCAAAACTCAGTCTCAAAAACAAAACAAAACAAAAAAACCCCGCTAATCCAGTGTGGTTCTTTATTTTTCTTTCATGTCAGATAGGTGATGTGCTGACATGGTAGTAAGGTTCAAGGTGCCACATCTCACAGAGGCGTGTGAACACCCAGGCATCATGCTCATGAGCTACAGTAGGATCAGAAGTTCTTAATTTTAATGAAGTACAGTTTGTTAACGTTTTCATTTGTGGTTAGTACTACTTGTGCCCTCTCTGAAAAATCTTTGCCTACCCAAAGGTGATGAAGATATTCTCCTATTTAAATCTAGATGCCTTGTTTTTATCTTTGACATTGAAATCTATGATTCATTTCAAATTAATTTTGTGTATGGTGTGAGGTAGTCAAGGGTGTTATTCCCCCATTTGGTTATCAAATTGCCTCAGCATCATTTATTTTGAAAATCATCCCTTTCCTATGGAATTGCAGTCATGCATTTGTCACAAGCAGGTGACAATATATATATATCTCTGCCATTTATTTTTTTAGTAAAATCTGTGATATATTCCAGTAGACTATAAGTTCCAGGAAAGTTTGGAACTTTTGCCTAATTTGCCCACTACACTGTACTCATTGCCTAGCACAGTGTCAGGGCACATAATAGACATTGAATTAATATTTGCTGATTGGAAGTTAGGACTCAGAAAAATCCACAGCAAGTCTGAAAAAATGTTGGTGAGTAAAAGACAGTTAAACTGTTCCCAGTTGCACAGCATGCTTAGATATGTAGTAGAACTGAAAGTGTTTTTATAGAATATTCTCAGCTTCTAACTTCTAGAATTTCACCTGCTTCTACCTCCCCCCATTATAAGAATTTGTCTGATCAAATGGTTCTACTACTAGGTGTGAGGTCTTTGGCCAGGGAATTTGTTTAGTTCTTAGAGCCAAGTTTTCCTCTTTCTTTTCAATTTTTTTTTTTGTGTGTGTATATATATATATTTTACTGGAGACATTGTGTGAGAATCTGCTATTCTTCTGACATGTAGTTATTTTTTGACTTTTATGTTTAGCCCTTCAGTTTCTGTAAAATATATCAGTGTAAATTTAAATCTAAGTTAATTTAAAACAAGGAATGAATGTGAAATAATCTCCTTTATCAAACTGTTTATCTCATTTAGATGTTAAACGATAATTTTTACCACGTCTTTGGTTTTTGTAGAAATCACCACAGAAGGAAAAAGGAAAAAGTCATCTTCTGATTTATCGGAGGTATGCATTTGTTTTGCTTTTAATCTATTATCTTTGGAGTTACTGATACTGAAAGTATTTTGCTGTTTGTCTTTTTAATAACATTTTAAAGAAAATAGTATAAAACTTTAATCAGTGTTTTGGGAGAATGGTGTATTCTAATTAACTGAAGATCAACCAGGAAACCCTTCTACCAACTTTGTTTAAATTGTTGACTGGTATGCTTTCCAGACCGGATGACCAATATACTTTCCAGAGCTCATTTTAGATTTTATTTAAAACATAGCACAACATTTCTTTGATGACTTAATCTATTAGAGTACCTAATGTTCATTCATTAGTGATGCTATAGATGCAGAATAGTCGTACTCAAGGTATGTGCTGAACATTACTATTGGGAATATGTCCTTTTAAGCCTCTTTTTTTCATTTATTTCTTCCACATATGCCAAGAGTAGCAAAACAAGCAAAATGAAGTTTCTGCCTACATAGGAAGTGTTCAAAAAAATTAATTCCTTTTAAGAAAGATAATCTTTTTCTTTTCTTTCTTTTTTAAGAGACAGGGTTTTGCTCTGTTGCCCAGGCTCAAGTATAGCTCACTGCAGCCTTGAACTCCTGGGCTTTAGTGATCCTCCTGCCTCAGCCTCCCAAGTAGCTGGGAATACAGGGAGGTGCCACCATGACCAGCTAATTTTAATTTTTTTATGTAGGGACAGGGATCTTGCTATGTTGCCCAGGCTGGTCTCACATTCCTGGCCTCAAGCAATCCTCCTGCCTTGGCCGCCGAAAGTGTTGGGATTATAGCATAAGCCACCATACCTGGCATATAGAGATAATTTTTTTTCTAGAATTTTGTTCTTTAAATGCAGTAATATCCTGATTTACATTATAAGAATTTATTAAACCCTTTCCTATGAAGCAGTCTAAGTTATGCACAGAGAACTTTAATATGATACGTCTTCATGTTACATAGTTGTAGCATTTAACAAAGAAGAATTCATAAAGGAAGACAATGAGAGGAAATCAAGAGTACCTTAGAAGACCGTATAGAAAATATGGCTTTAGATATTCTTTCTTTTTTGGCTTAAGATTTGCCTGGTGTGGTTTCTCCATTTAAAACTCTGGATTTAGTTTAAGTGGGGTAAATAGAAGGTTAAAAAAAATCTTACGCCGAGGCAGTAGAATCACTTGAGGTCAGGAGTTCAAGACCAGCCTGGCCAACATGGTGAAACCCCATCTCGACAAAAACACAAAAATTGGCCGGGCTTGGTGGCTCACGCCTGTACTCCCAGCACTTTGGGAGGCCGAGGTGGGCGGATCACGAGGTCAGGAGATCGAGACCATCCTGGCTAACATGGTGAAACCCTGTCTCTACTAAAAATACAAAAAATTAGTGGGGCGTGGTGGAGGATGCCTGTAGTGCCAGCTACTCGGGAGGCTGAGGCAGGAGAATGGTGTGAACCTGGGAGACGGAGCTTGCAGTGAGCTGAGATTGTGCCACTGCGCTTCAGCCTGGGCAACAGAACGAGACTGTCTCAAAAAAAAAAAAAAAAAAATAGCTGGGCATGATGGCGGGTGCTTGTAGTCCCAGCTACTTGGGAGGCTGAGGCAGAAGAATCGCTTGAACCCGGGAGGCAGAGGTTGCAGTGAGCCGAGATTGCACCATTGCACTCCAACCTGGGTGACGGAGCGAGACTCTGTCTCAAAAAAAAAAAAAAAAACTTACATTGCCAGGATGAATACTATCATACCACTTTGAAATACCTCTGTATTAACTACTACTATTTTTGTTTTTAATATATCCAGTGAAGTGAAATATCCTGCTTTAGACTGTTGCATTATTCATGCAATTAATCTGAAATCCTGCCATTAGAAATTAATACCGAATTAATCCATTTCTCTTTCTGATTTTTAGATGTACTACAGTGTTTCTTAAACTTTTGTTTACAAGGAAGTTGAGACTTACAGAAAAGTTACAGAAATTTTGCAGAGTTCCTGTACAATTCACTCAGGTTCTCTCAATGTTATTATCTTATGTAACTATAGTATGATTATAAAAAACAAGAAATTTATATTCATACAGTACCTTAAACTGGTGGTCCCCAACCTGTTTGGCACCAGGGACCAGTATCGTGGAAGACAGTTTCCCATGGACAGGGGTTGGGAGGATGGTTTCAGGATGAAACTTGTTTTACCTCAAATCTTCAGGCATTGGGTTCTCGTAAGAGCGTGCAGCCTAGGTCCCTTGCACGCGCAGTTTACAATAGTATTTGTGCTCCTATGAGAATCTAATGCCACTGCTGATCTGACAGGAGTTGGAGCTCAGGCCCTAAGGCTCCCATGCTGCTCACCTCCTGCTGTGTTGTCCTTGGCCTGGGGGTTGGGGACCTCTGCTTTAAACTGTAGACAACATTTGGATTCCTTCGGTTTCACTAATGTCCTTTTTCTGTTGCCAGATCCAATCCAGGATCCCACATTGCATTTAGTTGTTAGGTCTCCTTAGTTTTCTTAAGTCTGTGACAATTCTTCAGTCTTTTTTCTTTCATGACCATGACACTTTTGAAGAAAACTGGACAGTATTTTGTAGAATATCTCTCACTTTGGGTTTGTTTCAGGTTTCTCAAGATTAGATTACGATTATGACTTTTTGGGAGGAATACCACAGAAGTGATGGTGCCCTTCTTAGTGCATTATATCAGGGGTTATGTGATAGTGATATATCTTAGTACTGGTAATGTCAGCCTTGATTGTTTGGTTAAGATGGTGTCTGCCTGTTTGCTCCATTGTAAAGTTACTTTTCTCCTCTTTATAATTAATAAATAGGGGAGATGCTTTGAATCTGTGCAAATATATTATTTTATCTCAAACTTTTGTTTACTATTGTAGCATCTATCAGTGTATCTTGCCTGCAAATTTGTATTTGTGATATTTTGGTGGTTTTGTGTTTTGCTCATTCACTATAGATTTATGAATGTAAATTCTTCTATAAGGGACCAGTGTGGTGGCTCACAACTGTAATCCCAGCACTTTGGGAGGCTGAGGTGGGAGGATCACTTGAGGTCAGGAATTTGAGGCCAGCCTGGGCAACAGAGTGAGACCCCATATCGAAAAATAAAAACTAGTTGGCATGTTGGCATATGCCTGGAATCCCAGCTACTTGGGAGGCTGACATAGGAAGATTGCTTGAGCCAGGGAAGTTGAGGCTTTGGTCAGCCATGATTGCACCACTGCATTCCAGCCTGGATAACAGAATGAGACACTGTCTCTAAAAAATAAAAATTCTTCTGTAAGGGAGAGCTGATTATCTTCCCCAACTTACTTATTTATTTATTTAGAGGTCCTCCTGCTTCGGCTTCCCAAAGTGTGAGGATTCTAGGCATGAGCCACTGTGCCTGGCTTCACTTATTTATTTATATCAATATAGACTCATAGAATATTTAGTTTATTCTGTGAGTTATAATCTACTACTGTCATTACAGGTTTGTTGGTCAAAGTATTCCAGCCTTGGGAGATCTTTCATGTTGGCTGTACCCTTTTGATGTGCTCCTATCATTTTTTTTTTTTTTTTGAACGCTTACTTTCTGACACTGTATATTTTTTGGCACTGCAAGATGCTTATCTTGTGTTTTCCCTGCCCCAGGCTTGAAATCAACCACTTTCCCAGGGAGTCCTGGTTCTTTCATTTGAAGGATGATATTTAGAAACCCAGGTCTGTGTGCTAGGTATACTTGCAACTGGGATGTCATTGTTTTTAGGCTTTCTCAACAGACAAGACTACAAAAATATATGTTCACACATACAACATACGTATCTCTCTTTTCCCACAGAAACACATGTATCTATATTTCTCTATCTGCCTATCTGTATAAAAAAATGAATACTGATACTTGTGATTCCAGTCCCACACCACAAGGCTTATTCTAGCTTTTCCTCTTTCCCTATTTTTTTTCTGTCT